ATGGAATTGTAGAATGGATGGTTTCCCCAGCGGATTCAACAGTGGTAACGATAACAATAATCAATACAAATTAGGGACATGCTTCTGTTTTAATGCACTTAGTAACCAGATCTCTTGTCCTCAAATAAGTCTAAAGGAGAACTGTGTTCTCCTAACTAACCAGAGTGCTATTGTGAAGGAGGTGTATATGTGTGTGCATACGCTCGCGTGTGTGTGTGTGTGTGTGTTCCTTTTTCTCCTAGGGATTCTATAGCTTCCTTCATTCTTCACCTCTCTCATATTACAGAAAGAAGGTAATTTTTCCTGGCCATTTACTAAAGCTCATTAAAGACTGGAGAGAACAAACAATGCTACTCCTCAGAGACTACCATTCAAAGTCACTCTACAATTCTCTGTTCTAATACTTGAGACAAATTAATTATTCCTTAGTGAAAAGTGTATAATTCCTATTCTTCATTTTTGGGGGGTGGGGAATAATAATGGGAAGTTTATATCTGAGTGAAAAGCTGTCTGTGCTGAAGGGAAATGAGAAAAAATGTGTGTTCCGAGCAGAGTAAAAGCAATTATTCTAATAATAATTCTAAGAATATTAATGTCTTTTTAAAGTAGATTGCCTTCAAATAAACACAGAGGTTGAAGCAATGGGAGGCTGGTTTATTTATTAATCATTCCAAATGTGCATTCTTCTAAATGAACAACTGCACGATCAACTTTGCTGGCACATATTAAATTTAGTTAAATAGCAACTTGCAAATGTCTCAAAACTTTTGTAACCAGAGACTAATTTGTTTAACACTTTAAAATGTTATATTGATGTAAAGTCCCACATATTAAACTTCAAAGGGAAAAGCTCTTGAGAGTTCCTCATTTTTAAGACTACATGCTGGAAATGAGATGGAGACAAGGCTCATTCTGCATTCTCTTGTTTTGTTTTGTTTTTAAATACGAGGCAGTCTCTGGGCCCTGGCCCTCATCCTCGGCACTGTGTTTGGTCATCTGCAGAACAGCAAGCATCTAACTGTGGGGACTGTAAGGCGATGGTTTAGAAAGGTCTAGTGTTTCCCTTTCATCTCTATTAATTAATCCTGGCTCCGTTTGCCCAGAGTACGTTGCTGTTGACATCACCTTTTCCTTACACTTTAAAGAGTCCCGAGAGAGACCGGCTGCAGAACAAAACTGGACAAAGAGTACATTTGGTAACCATTTTATTTCTCAATTACCAACCTAAACGTATGGAAAAGATTTGCTCGCTATCCGATTTACACAACAATTATGCTTCAAAAGTTTAGAAATAAATAACTTTTTTCTTGGACTCATTAGTTCGTCTACCAATTGTAATTGGTGTCAACTAACGAGTTTGCTCCATGGCTTGCCCTTAATTACTGATAAAAGCTAAATTGCAACTCTAGCCAATCAGAAACTAGTTTATTCATGAGAGTATAGTATTCTTTTAAAAGCTCTGTTTGTCCTAATAAGTGGTTTTGTGTTTGGCTGAAACCTTCCATAAGCCCCCTTAACATAAGCAAAGGACTCTTAATAACTATATACAGTGAAGGAATATCATTACTGCCCCCATTCAAACAGATGAAACAAAGGGAACGTTTTATACATTTCAAATGTACACATCATGAATTTAGCAGACCCTGAAATCTCATCCATCTGGTGGGAAATAGATATTAGTACCCATAAGACTGATACAGAGAATTTGTTTCCTCTCCCAGTGTCTGTTTCTTTCAAGGTCTCCCTAGCCTTCTGAAACAGGCGGTAAGGAACAAGAGAAACCCAATAGAGGCATGAGGCATGTTAAATCCTAATGGTATAAACAAGACTTGGCCGAGGCCAAAATCCCACATTAAAAATAATAGGCATTCTGGAAACAAGAGTGTTAAGAGATAGCATGTGGTGGAATCATACCGCCAGGGAGGCCTTGCTACTGGGAGAGCCTAATTGCAGAAACATCATCCTGAGGACAGCCCTCTTTGTTGTCATTGTTGTTTTCAGAAAACAAAATAAACCTCTTCAGTATTATCAGAAATTCTGAAGATTGGTTCTTTATAATAATTAAGATGCTTTTGGCTGCAATGATCAGAAAACTCAGTTAAAAGTGTCTAGACTGTAATCCCAGCACTTTGGGAAGCCGAGGTGGGCGGATCACCTTAGATTAGGAGTTCGAGACCAGTCTGGCCAACATGGTGAAACCCCCATCTCTACTAAAAATACAAAAATTAAGCAGGCGTGGTGACACCTGCCTATAATCCTAGCTACTAGGGACTCTGAGGCAGGAGAATCCCTTGAATTTGGGAGGCGGAAGTTGCAGCGAGCCGAGATTGCGCCACTGCACTCCAGCCTGGGCGACAGAGTGAGATCTAGTCTTCAAAAATAAATTAAAATAAAAAATAAAAGTGGCTAGAACAATAGGGGTGTTTATTTCCTCAGTAACGAGAAGTTAGAAATCCCAAGTTTCCAGTTGGATTAATTCAGGCCCCCATCAACATTATTAAAGACACAGGTTCTTACTATCTTTTTACTCCCTTTGTCTCATGGCCTTGGTGACTCCCTTCAGGGTCACCAGATAACAGGAGTTCCAGGCATGTGGTCCTCACGTAACACCATCAAAAGGTATAAGAGATGGGACCATTTCTTTCCCCACTTTTCTGGTTTGTTTGGATAAAGAGCAAGGACACCTTTCCTGGAAATATTGGCAGCTGACCTTTCACATCTTACTGGTCAAAAGGAAGTCACATGCCTACTCCTAAACCAATCACTGGCAAGGAGTGCTCCAGTCTTGGACCAATCATGATTCACCTCTGTAGTCTGTGAAGCGTTTTAGGTTCTGGTAAACCACTTGGCACCTTGGTAACTGAACAAAACCAAGCTTCCACTAGAGAGGAGAAAGGGGATGGTTGTGAATGATTTACTGGAAAGATAAACAACAATGCCTGTCACACACTTGAGATTGCTATTCCAAGTAACCTATCTCGGTGATCTCCAGTCAAAAGTGAAGGGTCAATGTTAAGTATGAAGTCAGAAGACAAAGTTGAGCATGAGGCTCAGTCTTTTGTGGCTCTCATACCTGTTCTCTTGACCAATCACTATTCAATAAAGGGAATCATGTGCTGGAATTGGAAGGAGTTGTAGCCAGCAATTGATGAGGTGGGAAGAGTGCAACCTGGGGCCCAGGGTAGGCTCTGCCACTAGCTTGCTAGGTGATTGCTACTGAATCCTGGACCTCTGCACTTCCCTGACTTCATTGTGAAATGAAGGGGTTGGGTCAGAGAAACCTTAATGTCTCTTCTCACCTTGGAATCTGATAGATTTTCCACTTTTCTCACTGCCATCTGGTAGTCTCCTTTGTCTCCTTACTCTGCAGCTGATACAAACAGCATGCCAAAATTCTCTTCTTGCCTTTAGCTGTTTCTTTATCCTTTAACTCTTTCTTCTTAGACTAGATTTTAAAAGCCCAGAGGACATGACCCCTCTGTGTTTTGCAGTATCTTGTGTTCACTGTACTATCATTGATTGAGGGCCTACTCGGTTCTGTACACTGTGTGAAGGGCTTTGCTCAGACAAAGTGGGCCCTCTGTCATTATTTCCTTATTCATTTTGCTCCAGCAGCTTTTGGTGTCTTCAGATTTTCTTACAAGAGGCAACGTAGCATTCCTAAGGTGCAGGTAATACGTGTGTAGCTTATTATTATTATGAGGATGAGGCCAGGCCCAGTCTCACAGGATCACATTTGCTGTGAATAAGACAGTACTCCCTGCTTCCCAGAGCCACCCACTCATTTCATCAGCACAGTTTCCATATCTGGCAGCAGAGTTAGAGGAAGTAAGAGAGACTAGTTCCCATAACCTGTCTTAGTCTTTGAGACAAATGACAATGTAATGCTAACTTTAAGGAACTTGTCAAGGCAAGTAAGGGTGATTTTACCAGAGAACGGAAAAGTAGACACTAAGAGATCCAAATTTTAAGGTAAACATGGAGAATTCTCTTGGATGCTTTTTAAAAAATAATCCCTAGCATCATTTTTAAAACACTTGGTCAGTAATAACTTTGTAGCTTTCATGCATGCGACCAAAAAGTGAACACGTTTTTACTCTTCCAAGCTGACAAGCAGGTGGCTCTAGAATTTTAGAGGGGAAAAAAAAAAATCCATGCCGTTGATTCCTTTCTTCTTTTTTTTTTTCACTTGACAGCATCTTTATTATAGTTTTAGAAGTATTTGGTGTGTTGAATTTCTTGAAGATGGGAGTGATTATTTTGCAATTAATAGTATACAAATGCCTGACAAGCAGTTCATCACCAGATCAATGGCAACAGAGAAAAGAGCACCAGATCACTTTACTACATGTGCCCAATGTAGTACCAGCCCTAACTGTGATGAGGCCTGGAATTTTTATGTCACAATAAAAAGTACTGTGGCAGACAATACTTTTGTAACTGTGGTTAGGCTGTTTATTGTCTAACCATCATCCCTGCCCCCACTTCTCTGCTAATCAATTCCTGATTTTTTTCAAGGCAGAGATCAGTTCATTCAAGAGAAGGTGTTTTTCTCCTTAGCTGGCCCAGGGATTTAATCAGGATTGGCGTAGGGCTGAGCATATGATCTTGTTCTAGCCAAAGAGACATAAAGGGGAAAGGAAGTCCAATGGGTACTTCCCTTCCAAATAAAGCCCCTCTCCCAAATCAATGACCTATTTTCAATCATCACCTTAGCCTCTTAGCAGCATTTGCAGATTTGACCAGTGTTCTTCTTACAACGTTTTCTTCATGTGTCCTCTGGTTTTCCTCCAACTTTGTTACCTCCTCTTTTTCAAGTACTGGACTTGCTCTTCCTCCTCTTCATGACCTTTAAAGTTGGGTAGCCCAGGGCTCAATCATTGGCCTTTTATAGTCTTATTCATGGTTGTTATACCTTTTATATATTAACAATTTCCAGATTTATTTCTGTAGCACAGATCTCTCCCATGAGCTCCAGACCTACATATCTAATTGGCTTCTCAACTTCACTACATGGATGTTAAATGGGGATCTCAATCTTATTATGCTTAGGACCAAAACAGAATCTTGATTTAGCCCATAATCCTTTCCCGGGCCTCCCATTCAGAAAAGGACAGCTCTCATTCATCTGCTTATCCCAGAAAATGAAGTCATCCTTGATTTTGTTCTTTCCCTTTAGTTCCCCACAAAGGGCACTGACATGTGCTCTTAACATTACCTTCAAAGTATATTTGGTATCTTACACCTCCCACCACTTCCACCATTTGTCCTGGTCCACATCAACTTCATCTCTCACGTGGAATGCTGTAGTCATCTCTTTATTAGTTTTTCACTTCCACTTTTGCTTCCTGTGTCAGAATTAATTTCAACTCTCTGCAAAAAATTTAAAAAGTTTTAAGAAAGATATGTTTATTTCTCCCTCATATGTTTGGAAGCAACTATTGCAGTGTTGGTTTGATAACTTCATAGTATTGCCAGGGACTTGCCTTTCACCAGTGCCTCCATCTTTCATCTGTCTGCTCCATCATCTTAGTACAAGGTTTCATCCTAGTACAAACTTCCATCCTCAAGGCCATCTCATGGTGAAGCTTTAGTGATTAGGTGCACATTTCAGGCCCAAAGAAGGAAGAAACAGAAGAGAAGAAGAGAGTTGAATGAGCTCTCTTTAAACACATTCCTAGAAGTCCTATCCACACTTTCTCTTACATAGAATTTATTGGCCGAAATGTAGTCACATGGTCTATTGAGCTGCAAGGGAAGTTTAGGAAATGCAGTCCTTTATTCCAGGTGCCAATATACGCAGTTTAAATTTGGGTTCTATTTCTAAGGAAAAACGAATCCTGTGGTAAGCTTGTAGTAATTTCTGCCACATATTCATCTAATCAATTCTTCCCCAAGGGCCAGTTAACTTTTTAAAAAATTAAATCAGATTATGGCACAACCCCACTTAACACCCTCCAATGGCTTCCCAATATGCTCAGATTAAAATCTAAAGGCTCTGTTTCTCTCTTCAGTATCTTCTGTTACACTGTGTCCCTCTCACTCCATTCTAGCAGCATGAGCTAACACTAAGCACGCCATACTGATTTCCACCCGAGAGCCTTTGAATTTGCTGTTTTTGTGGCCTGAATGCATTTCTGTCAAATCTTGGCACAATTTAGCATCTCACTTCATTCAGGTACAGCCTTGCCCTGTTCCTGATTTTACTTTTTAAAACAATGACTGTAGAGCTATTATCACAATTCTGTGGAGCCTAGAAAAATCTTACTTTTGGAGTATCTGCCCAAATCATATCAAACATATCCCACAATAATATAATTTGACAGTGCCTATATAAGAAGCAAAATATATTGCAATTGTCAAGTTAATCCACTACCATTTGTAGACATTTAGTTGGATATTTACTAACTTCCATTTCAGAGTTTTGCTTTTGTATTCTTGAGCTTATATAAGCACACAGCATTGTGCCACGGGGCATACTGGGTACAACTTCCCTTGATTATAAATTTAACCCCAACTAACACACTGAAATTGTTCTGGCTATAGAAACTTCCTTGGTTTTAGATCTTAATGAAAGATTATTAATAAGTGTCTCATAGCTTATGTTACTTCTACTATGACAATCCAATGATGGAACAATGGTTTAGAGCAGTGGTCTCAATCTTGGCACTTTTAACATTTGGGCAGAGAAGGTTGGGTGCAGTGGCTCACACCTGAATCCCAGCACTTTGGGAAGCTGAGGCGGGTGGATCACCTGAGGTTAGGAGTTCGAGACCAGCCTGGCCAACATGGTGAAATCTTGTCTCAACTAAAAATATAAAGTAATTAGCTGGGTGTGGTGGCGGGCACCTGTAATTCCAGCTACTCAGGAAGCTGAGGCAGGAGAATTGCTTGAACCCTGGAAGTGAAGGCTGCAGTGAGGCGAGATCATGCCACTGCACTCCAACCTGGGTAACAGAGTGAGACTCCATCTCAAAAAGCAAAAAAAAAAATTGGGGCAGAATAATTCCTTGTCGTGGGGGGCTTTCTTGTGCCTTGCAGGATGTTTAGCAGCATCCCTGGCCTCTACCCACTGGTGATAGCAGCAACTCAGTGTGTTTCCCCAGTGTGACAAGCAAAAGTGTCTCCACACATTGCCAAATGTCCATTGGGGGGCAAAAACCATCCCCAGTTGAGAACCACAGGTTTAGAAGCTAAAGTTGCACAGACTAATTTATTAGCATGTAGGAGTGGACTGTGGAAGGTTTCTTCAATCTATTAAGCTTTGCCAAATTCCAAGTTTTGCACCTCAGCTTTGACCCTATTCTTGGACAATCCTTAACATTTATGATTTGAGTTTCCTCAGTGTTAAAATGGAGGCAATGGCAATGATGCCTATTGTATTAGGTAGTTATTGTGATTAAATGAATTGCTCTATGGAAAAAACCTAGCTTAGTGTCTGGTATTCCTTGGAAGGTTCAATATTTGTTATTTCTCCCTTCTGAGTTAAAATAGAAATATCTGAGTGAAAAACAATGTTGTGGCTATTTCTGACATAAACTCAGAATGTGAGAAGAGGAATTCTGTGCGGTGAGAGATGGGGGGAGGTGCCTGCCCAGCTTCTCAGAAACAGAAGGGAAGGTATAGCTGCCATGAAACATGGACACACCAAAGATTATCAAAGGCGCATGAACTCAATTGTAAATTGTGAAATAGAAACCATGGTTCTATCTGCCCCAGATATTCAAAATATATCCAAAATCTGATCATTTCTTACTTTCCCTTCTGCTATCACTGTGGTTCCAGTCACCATCATCTCTTGCTCAATTTCTGCAAGAACCTCCTCATGGTGATCTTTCTGCTTCTTCCTGACTGCTTTGTTGTTTGTTCTCACCCAGCAGCCAGGATGAAGTGTAGATCAGATCATATCTCTTTTCTGCTCAGAATCCTCCAGTAACATCCAGGTAAAAGCCCAAGCCCCACATCTGTCCCAATCTAAACTCTGATCTCATCTACTACACCCTGGGCAATCTGGTCTCCTACCTGCTTCTAAAACATACCAAACACATCTTCCTTAGGGCATTTGCAATGTTGGTGCTTCTGTCTGGAATTCTCTTTCCATTAGGAGCATGGCTCCTTTACTTCCTTATGTCTCTCGGCAAATATTGTCTTGTCATTGAAGCCTCTCCTGACTCACCTACACAAAATTGTGCTCCACCATCAAGAGCCTTTCCACTTGGCCCCACCAATCCCTATCATTCTTACCCCGCTTCCTTTTCTTCCTAGTATGTTCCACCTTCTAACATACAATAATTTATAAATGCCATAAGGGAAGGGGCTTTGTTTTCTTTGCTGCTGTATCTCTACCACCTTGAACATTGGTTGGCACATAGTGGGTGCTCAATAAATGTTTTTTGAATGTATGAATGAACTGAGGATAGCACAATTTTAATTGAGGTTAAAAATAACAAAGAAAACCAGGAGTCCACTTGTGTATGTCAACTGACACAAATCCTACAATACCCTGAACCTGCCAGACTGGTTTTCCCATGGCCCTCCTGAACATGTGTATAACAACTCTGAAATGTGTAACATATTCCCCCACCTCCTTTGCCCCTGCAAATAGTCATGGACACTTATAATCCTAAGAGATAGGAAATATGGTGCTTATGATAAGGTGACAAGTAAGAAATTAATGAGTCTTATTCTGGCTGGTCTATATAGGTCTAAACCACCCAAGTATGGGGCGTGTAGGGAGCCAGTTGGATTCTTGGGTCTAGAATTTGCTCAGATGGCCCCATGTGCTGCAGATATCTGTTTCTCATACTTATTATGGAGTCTCATGTGGCCTAAAACTCCTATTTTTTTGATAACCTGCTTTGGATGTGATTGTCTGATGGGCTCTCTGCTCCTCCTCATACCTGATTCTAGCATTCACCCTCTGACCACATACAATTTGGCTGACATTCATCACTTTAAAAAAAAAGTCCACTATCTATTTTCCTGTAGAGAATGACCTCTTTCACTCTATAGATTCTGGGAGGGAGGAGACTTCCAGGGTTTGTTTCAACTGTAGATGCCCTAAGAGGGTTGCTCTTCTTCTTAAGGGTCAGGTACATGACAGAGTGCCCAGTAGGAGGCTCTTTTTAGGGATTCTGCAACTTGACTAGGTGGCCCAGGGAAGAACAGTAACAGTTGAAGGTCATTTGTCTAGGCAACACCATACTAACCACCCCATTTCTGCTAGGAGACCACTGTTGAAATTCCTACTTCATAACTTTTTATTGCACCTCTGGTTCTTGCTTTTTCTCAGACTGGTCCTCAGGCCTCGTGTTAATTTTAAGAACCCCTCGTGTATGAGTTAGTTATTGGTATTTCTTGCTTATAACCCAGATCCTAACTGGTACACACCCTGATGATAGTGAGGACACTCCAGCTTTTTGTCCTAGGCTCTGCTAGAGAGGGAGATTGGACAAAAGTGAGCAAATGGAAGAATTCATATAGAGAGAAATAGGTGGCAACAAAATATCTCATTTGGCTTTTTCTCACAGCATTTCTTAGCTTTCTACTGCTGCATAACAAATGATCATAAATGCAGTGATTTAAAACAACACTCATTTGTTATCTCAGAGCCTCTGTAGGCTGGTGTTCATGTATGGTGCAGATGGGTTCTCTGTTCAGGGTCTCACCAGGCTGAAATCCAGGTGTCAGCTTGGATTGCCATCTCATCTGAGGCTTATGTTCTCATTCCAAGATCACTGGTTGTTGGCAGGATGCATGTCCTTACGGCAGTAGGACTGAGGTCTCCAATTCCTTGCCAGCTTTTGGCCAGGGACTGCTCTCAGTTCCTAGAGGCTGCATGCAGGTCCTTGCTTGCTGTGTGGCCTCCCCATACAGCCTCTCACATATGGCAGTCTGCCCCTTGCAGGACAACAGGAGAGCATCTTCTGCAGCTCTGAATCTCCTTCATGCCTTCTATTTCTAGACCCTCTCGCACAAGGGCTCACCTGATTAAAGCAGGCCCACTCACACTCAAGGAGAAGGTGTTATGAAGAGCACACACACCCGAGGAGGGGAATCTTGGGGGTATATCTTAGAATTTTGACTACTACAGCATTCCTGTGAGAATGCCATTTGGAGAAGTCTATTACTTAGCCCCAGATTATCATTATGTATTCAAAGAAAGTAAATCCAGGCCAGTTGGCTACAGTGGCTAACATCCATGGACAGAGCTTTTGCCTATATGGCCATTCCTGGGGCTTGCTGGAGAGCAATGTATTTGGGTGCCAGTGTGGGGGTTTATTAGTGTTTCTAGAACAAGTGATGACACTGTTAGGTAGACTCTTGCCTTTCGTTTGTTTGGTCAAGGACAAATTTATTTGTGTGTTTTTGGTATTTGTTTCTTTAAATTACACAGCCTTTAGAAGCTGTCTTCTGATTGGAAGAATCACACAACAGTCTCCTCTAGACACAAAGTATCGCTCTCCAGTAATGGGGATATAGCCAGGGTCACTGCCATCCCACACCCATCAGGGAAAGGGGTCATTCTCCATCAGCCATTTGGTAAAATTAAAACATAGTAATTATAACACAACAGTGTCATAGGATC